ATGGGTGGTCGCCGAAAATGGTATTCAGGCGGGACGAAGGCTGGTGGCTTGGGTAGTGGAAACTGATGAGAGTCGGAGCTGGTCATGGGTCGTTGTGGATAGAAGCTTCCAGGCGCGCGGCGTGTATGGCCTGATGTGCTTTTTAAAGATTGTAAGGGTGAGGCTACACATGGCTTCGGAGGAGGCAGAGGAGGTAGCAGGTGACGAGTGGGAATTTGTGGATTTTGCACAGGCAGGGGCGTTACAATACCAGGCTTTGTAGGTAGGTGTTTGAGCCCGAGGGCGCGCTCTGGTGGAAAAGGGCGATGTGTCATTAGGTCGGGGGGTCTGAAGCGAGAGACTATCCATCTTCCAATAGTAGGTGTTTGAGCCCGAGGGCGCGCTCTGGTGGAAAAGGGCGATGTGTCATTAGGTCGGGGGGTCTGAAGCGAGAGACTATGTTCCCATCTTCCATTGTAGTACCGGATAGTAGCTGGAAAGATTCTGCGTCCGACATCACAGGGGTGAATTTATTTGGTGCAATTGATGTCTGGGGAGGCACAGGCGGGTGTCCAAGGGTAGAAGTGGAGGGCTCATGGTCAGAAAAAAGAGATGCAGGCCTGGAGACCATTGTGAGGGTCTGTGTGACTTTCGGCCGCAAGTTGTCGTGACGGTGTGGCGGGCTTTGGCGAGGAGCGATTCCAGGATAATGGGAGGCTGTGCCGCAGTTTCGAGTTTTAGAGGATAGGGGGTCAGCTCCGGTATTAGGGGAGTAGCTCTAATACCGTCCCAACTCTATTTCAAAAAGTTGACTACAGGGGATACAGAAGATAAACTGGCATTTCGTAAAATGCGGAATCGATGTAAATCGGAAATCCGCCAATGAAACATACGAAAACAACCCACCATTCTGGATCTCACCCGAGAAAACAAAAACGTAATGTTCAAATACACGAGACATCGATGCGGAAACAAGCCATCCGCGTTCTCCTTGAGGGACAGAAATGACCCAACAGTGGTATCTGAGGCTTACAGAGAACACTATGCGTGTCTATATTCAGCCCCAGCGTCTCCGTCATAGCCACTCTTGTCAAGGCGGAACTACGAACAGCCTCTAACCAACTTGATCTTTACGGTGGAGGACATTCGTCAACTCTCGCACAAGATCAATCCATTCTGCAAGTTGGGGCTCGACGAGGTCCATCTAAGGATCCTGAAAGAAACGTCCTCCACACTGGCAAACCATTTACACTTGGTGTTTCGTCAGTCGCTTGACGAAGGCCGCCTTCCCCCTGCTTGGAAGGAAGCGATTGTCACGCCAATATACAAAACTGGTGACCGACTATCGCCTGGCAGCTATAGGCCTATAAGCCTCACTAGCGTGCCGTGCAAGGGGATGGAACGCATTCTGAAGCAAGCCATCCCAGATCGCCTTACGCCCAGCAACCTGACATCTCCAGCTCAACACGGATTTCTCCCAAACCGTTCTTGCGTAACAAACATGCTCGTGTTTATGGACAGCTTAACCCAAACCAAGGACGAAGGACTCATATCGGATGCCATATTTTTCGACTTCTCAAAAGCATTTGATAGGGTCACACACGTCCCGCTGCTTCATAAACTCGAGTCTTACGGGATTCAAGGAAAAATCGTTCGCTGAATCAAGGCGTTCCTATCAGACAGATCATTCCGAGTGAGAATAGGTTCGACCTACTCTTCTCCAGCGCCGGTCTCCATTGGAGTTCCTTACGGCTTCATCCTGGGACCACTCCTGTTTCTGATCCACGTCAACGACCTTCCAGATGTTCTCGCGAGTCCATGTCCGCTTTTGGTGGACGACTTGAAATCCTGAAGTACCAATGCCAGTGCACTCCAAACGGATGTGGACGCTGCCAGGTAGTGGTCGTTGGACTGGCACCTTCATCTGAATAAGGAATAGCCGTCCATATGTCATTTGGGGGAGACTCAGCGAATGCTTTTGTTACGCACTATGAGGAAGGCCCAGAAAACATCATGAGGATAGATGCCAAAAAGAATTTGGGCATCTGGGCCTCCTCAAGCTTGTCCTACTCACTGCAACATGAGAAATCGGCCCAAGGGGCATTCGTCATTTTACGGATGATCCGACGCACCTTCTCTCGTATCGCTCTCATGGACTTCCAAATACTCTATGGAGCCTACGTCAGACCGCTCCTGGAGTACGCCAACCAAATTGTCTACGTAGGACGCACGAAAGACGTCACCCTCATTGAGCATGTCCAGCGAGCCGCCACGAGAATGGTTGCAGGCCTCAAATCCGTGGACTACGAAACCCGTCTCGCGATGCTTGATGTCTTTCCCTGGAGTACCATCGCCTCCGAGGGGCCTAATTTTTACTTCCGCCCTGTTTGAACCAAGCTTGGTCAACAGGTTTTTTACCGTTGACCCAGCAAACACACGGTGGGGACACAGTAAGAAAATTTTCAAGCTCAGGGCATACACATTCATTAGACAAAACTTTTTTTCATTTCGGGTAGTAGCTCCATGGAATGACCTTCCTCCGACGGTTTTTCACGCTCCTTCTAGAACTCGGTTTAAAGCACTATTAGACATTTATTTATGCGAATCCTCGCGCTGGCGAGCATACTGCCCCGCGCTGAGAACATAAAGAGCAGTGCTACACCCTTTTTTCACTTGTGCCTTTCAGGTGAACGACAGCCAGTGACCGACATGAACACAAGCGACGCGGGAAACTCAGGAAAAATCCTCGATCCTGTATATTAACGCGTGACTTTGTGAATCTTGCACTATGGAGATACCCCCAGTAAACTGGGACCATGGCTCATCCACACATCTCAATAGTGCGACCGTAACACCCCTGTCTTACGGATCTCAGATCCAGAAGCCTTGAGACAATTTTACTTGCAGCCATTCAGGCTAGGGTTTCTGACATGTACTTTCTGAATTTCGGTTGACTCGAACTTTTAATACACTAATTGTATGAACTTGACTACCTGATAACCCCACTAGTTCAAAGGTTGTGAATCAACATGCCAGAGGCGTGCGTTATTGTGGAAAGCAACAAGTCTAGGCCATATGAGGCCATATATGAAATGATTAGAGATGTTGGCAAGTATGCTGCATATCCCGTTTTATGGTTCACTCATATAGACGAGCATACCAACCAAAGTGAGTCAGGAACAATCTTCATACATCTGGATTTTGTATTTCTCACTCAACTTTTTCAGTGGTTCAAGTTCATATGTTGCTGCTTGCATTGAGCGAGGAACCAAATATTTGTTCGCAACAAAGGTGCTCCAGAAAAAAGTATTCTGCCAGTGAATTTCGTGATGTTCCTTATAGAAACCAGGTGTTCAGGATCCTCGTAGTGTCGCTGTACTGCTGAAACTTCAACACCCAAATATAGTATGACGATTTTCGATTTTCACACCATTTTTCAGACGCGGTTGCGCGAGGTTTTTGAGACGAGTACTTTTTTATATCTTGTTTACGAATTTGTTGAAGGAGAACAGCTCTTTCACAGGTAAATCTCTGTTTCACTATTTTATCACCCCCGACCATACAAGTTCCATATTTCTACTTCAGTCATATCTAACTAAAACCTGTTTGGTGGCGAGAATATCTGTCGAACCTCATATGTCTGCCACCTGCCAAGGAGATAGACTCTGTTGCATCACCGGAGGACTATTGTGAATGGGGCTTACACTGAACCGTGGTTTTCTGTTTTACTGGAATTCTGGTTTTGACTGGCGATTGACCATCTGGGACGTATTTACCAGTGAGCATATTTCTCTACCTTGAGGATTCGGGCGAAATTACCCCGGTTCCGGCAAATTCGCAGACACAAGGCTCATCTTTTGCTTTCATATAGCTAAGGGCCTTTTCCATAGCTTTCACAATGGACAGAGAAATGTGCTTCATCTGTGTGTATGTGTAGAGTGACCAATAGTATGAGCGAGCGGAGCACTAGCAAAGATAACAGGTTAAACTGATTTAAACACGAAAGTCAATTAGCAAATCAGCTAATTAATTCGAATAGATAAAAAATGAAACCCGTTCTCCCACACTTCGTGTATTTATTGTTTTCAAGCCAAAAATGCGGTTGCCAATAACAACGCAGCTGACAAAACAACCAAGAGCGACTAATAAAATTAATTCGTCATCACCCATCAAATCCTTGGGATCCGACTGCTCTTAGTGAAACTTGGCTAACCTGTTCCCTCTTGGAGCATGGAATTTCCCAAGTTGGAACAGATTCCATCATGCAGAACAGAGAGGCTAATTGTGGCGGTATCATTCTCTACTGATACAGCTTCTTAACATTCACATCAGTAGAAGACTTCTTGCTACATGTTAGCGTCACACTATTTTACGGCCAATTTTTATCCGACTGTAGCCGCTGCTTTGTTGTAATAATTTACTGCAGATTAACTAGTGCAATACATAATGACGAAAACTTCAACGATACACCAGGACAGTAATTTTTCTATGGTGGAAAACGTGAATGCTCTATCCCCGTAGGCTCCATTCCCGGACGTAATTCGCTCAAGGGTTAAAGATAAACCGTGAGCCACTCGACGCAATAGCTCAAAATTACAAAACACGCATACAAACGTGTGAACCCACACCTTACTCAGGCTCCGCTACCCTATCCGTATTAAGCACTTGGGATTAGCGAGGCACTGTTGACTGGATCTGTAACCCAATAATCACCGGTCCACTGTGAAGACCAATTAACCCTAAATTAACATCACGTGGCGTAAGCGAACACATATTCAAGAAAAATACGTCATACCGTTAAAGCGTTATAAAGTCTGACGTGTGCTCAAAGACGGAATCCACTGTAAACCCAACAGAGAGGTGAAGCATGCAAAGAATCCCCCAAATACTTTTCTGCCGTAAATAGATCTCATTCCAAACATAAAGTGGGGTTTAAAATGTGTAAGAAGCAAGAAGATTAGTTGAAAATCAAATGTAAGTAAGCATGAAGAACATTATTGGTGCACAGATAATGGCGCCCATAATATAATCGAGAAGGTATATGCACTAATATCAGTTTCTACTTTGGTTGAAAGTGGTGAATTTCAACATGTTTAGAAATAAGTGCAATGCAAAATGTGGAGCAAGCAAAAATGGAACGCATCATTTGTGATAGTCCCTTGGCGAAAGTCTGGACAGTATAAACGTGTTTTCTCCGCAATGTGGCTGCTACACGTGTTCAGAAATTGTCCATGGTCGAGTGGTGGTTGGTTAACACCCTGCTCCCTGCGCACGCGCGAGTCTGTGTATGTTCACTGTGTTCGGTTTTCCTATATGCCGGTACGTTTGCGTGTAACTGGGTGTTGCTATGCTTACTAGACCATACAGGCAGTCAATATAACATGAGTCACTTTTCTGTGACATTGTTTGGAGTGTAGAAAAAAGACGAGTTTCGTGATCTAGTGAGCGACTGTGAGTTGAAAAGTCAAGTATATGGGTAAAGGGATAGCTACAACGTACTAGTCCAGACGGTATAAAAAGAACATACGTACCACGAGGAGTTGAGCAAACTTGCAAAGCGCTTGTTCGGATTGAAGAACATGTTAAACTGTTTGTACAGGCCTGTTAAGCACCCAAAGATGATGGAGCAGGAAACATCCGCCATATGGAAAAATGTTGGTCTAACGTACATTCAAAAGGAAACCACGCATTCAGTAATTAGCCACTTAATGCCAGACTTTGGTTCCATCACAGACACAAGGTCCACTGGTACCGGCAATTGACTTAACAGGTGTGATCAAAACCTTCCCCCACGGCTGTCCAACACCAAAATCACACGCCCCAAAAGATATTTTTGCAGGCATTGCTAACATCATCTTTGAACTCACGGCCCTATGGCAAATGGACTTGTATCACTGTCGAAATTCTTTTGGAATCATTCGAATACTTCAGTTTTTCACAGCGAGGTAAATGAGAATTCCTCATTTTTATCTGTATGGGTGATTGCCAATACAACCTCCCCAGATGCAAATACGTTACCTTTATCCTCCCTTAAAAACAAGCAAGCGAGTCAAAGAGAATTCAGACAGACAGACAGCTAGCCAATACAAGGTGTAGATTAATCTATTCCTGCGGGTTGAGTAGAAGCGTGAACCTAGACATAAAATAAGAAACTATGGATGTTCTTGCTGTGCGCAATTATCCCATGACACCCTACCAGGCCAGTGTCGGAACGCTCCTATGTACCAATGACGGTGCAAATAATGGAAACCGGAAAGCTGAATTACGCCTCTGGTTTAGCACACCAACAGTCAAGTGCCTCCTCTGAATTTTTGATCTCACAATATAAGACGGTACTATGTTAAGCTACATGAAGCAAATGTAGGCTGTATGTCTGTTATTTCTGTGTCCTTCATTGAGTTGATGGTTGACAATCCATAACCACAATGAGGTTTACATGTCCGCTTCAACACTCCAACAGTCAACTGATACTCTAAATCCTTTCCGTTCAAGTTAATCTGACGGTGGTATATACAGCTTGATTTGCGAGGAAACGATATTTTTCGTCATTACACGGTTCGCACTTAGCGTGCGATACGTTTGCTTGATTCAGAAGAAACCATATAGTATATGCATACAGTTAAATGTTGAGTGAGGTTTCTTCTTAAAGTCTGTATTTATAACTTTAAATATCTCTGTTGTCATTCAATCAACTGCTGCTGCATTTTTGCGGGTAAAAAAGATGGACTTCTGATCTAAAATGTTGAAATTTTGCACATACTCTGTATACCTTGGTGAGCTTACGGACGTTATCAAGCCTACGCAAGAGTGTGTTTAGAGCATTTATTTCAGCACGCCGACAGACGGAGGCATTATAATGTAAATGCGTTCCAACTTCTTAAAGACGCAAATAAATGTGATGGTGTTTCCTCGGAGTACTAGATTATCTACGAGGCATTCTACTTACACATGAATCTAGCATCTCCGCCATAATGTAGTCTTTACCTGCTTGTCTTACAGAAGGTCTCTATGTAAGAGCTTACTGTGGATATAACGGCCAAGCTACATACATCTTATCTCACGAAGATAACTTCTCTAAATACCTAACCTTAAACCAACTTGCCATCCTCCTCAAAACTGGTTAACTACCAATCCATCGACACGCCTTATGGTGGTGATATTGATGAGGACTTGCAGATGGGAGTAGAAGACAATCACAAGCTCCAGTCGTCAAGTCTTGCAGAGAAAAGATGTTCGCTTGGACACCTGAAGTTACCTCAATCAATTATGCAATGGCTCCAATAATTTGCACGATCCTCATAAGCAGTGCTGTTTGTCTTAAAGGCTAATAATGGTTTTGCTGAAATATTATCAAGTTTTCTGATCAAATGTAAAAATACAGACCCACATGTCAGGGCTAGATCAAAAGTCAGCTGTTTTAGAAAGGCTAATTAAAATTAAGTAAACTGACTTTAGAGTCACACACTGCCCAAACATTTGGTGGAAACATTTTTTCAGCAATTCACTGGAGAGTGTTTTGCCAATGATATATACTGTGATACCTCAGATATAGTGCCATCAAAAAAATCAGGTGGCCTTTGCGCACGTAAAATTAGGGTTGTAGCAATTGCCCAAAGATTGTGCTAGCCCCCTTTTACGAACCCAGCATGGGAATCCTGATAAAGATGCTGGTTCAAAATTTCACACAAAAATGAATTCATTAACAGCTGATATTTGGTTAGCAATTTTGACTAATCCCGTTATTCCTGAACAATAAGAGTGAAACCCTAAATATGACCTTGTTATGACCTTCATAAAGTGTTGATACAAGCGGGAGTACATATGGTTGGAATAGCCCAAAACTCATGGAGAGTTAGCGTCGGTATTCACTCAGATATATTCTGACGTGCTCGAATGAAAGCACCAACCAAATGTGCACACGATCCGTCTGAAAAGAATGCAAATTTACCACAGATTGCAAGGCCAGAAGTCTGGAACCCCGTCATACATCCCTAAATTTAAATCATTCATTCTGATTTTGTGAGGCACAGCCGTCACGGGTAGTGCAAGCAACTTTTGGCGTGCGGCTAAGTTTCTCAGTCCATCGAATCCGGAATTCTCACTCACCAATTATCCATGGTTTCCTGAAAGTGAAAATAAAAATTCATCCATATTATATATATATATATATATATCTGGACCCTGGTGCAGCGTGATTCAACTCAGACTGAAACTTCAAACTCATCGGTGAACAACGGTACCGATTACTCGGTCGATCATTTTTCTTAGAATAGGTATGAACCAATGTGGCACCGGACATAAATCGATCTTGCGTGCGCGTTGTTTGACATAACACTATCTAAATCAACAGATGATACGCCATCATGTACCATAGATTATTCTACCCGACAACAACATAGCGCCTAACTGTACGGGGAATCATGTGATATGCTGACTTGTAGTTTTCAGTTTTCCTGTTACCGTTACACAGCAACATCTCAGGGCAGCCAGGCACCAAGAAGGTACTACATCTGAGCAGTTGGGTCAATAAAAACTAACTAATGGATCATTTAACCACATATTGTTGTCCGGAACGTTTTTTCATCCTTTACTACTGTAAGAGGTATCGGAATTTTCAATCCTCAGACAAATCCAGCGGATGATATCTCCTAATTTTGTACGTTCCCATGAAAAACTTTAGACGTCCTTAATCATTCCTTCCGTTCTTGCTGTCAATTAGCAGGAACTGCAACGAACTACTCTTCACACTTTGCCTTTCGGCCTTTGACTTAGGCTTTCGGAATTGAAGAACTACACGGAGATGACGATTGCTGGGTACTTCCGTCAGATTGTCGAGGGTTTGCGGTACTTGCATGAATATGGAATTATCCACAAAAATTTGAAAGTACGTCATCGGTTCTGAAACTCGGATTCATTATTTCCGGTGTAAATTAGATTGGACAAGAGTAAATTTATCTTGTATGAAACATCTACGTATGGTTGTAACCGTTTTACATTAACCCCACCAGAGCCATAGAAGGCACTACTCAATTATTACGTATGATGTATTCAGTAATTTACTTTTGGCACAAAGAACCTACAAACAAACTTCTTCACGGAAACAATACCCCCTGATCCTGCAGAATTAGTTTTGAAAGCTTTATTTTATACTTTATACCCGAGAGACCATGATACTTTGGTGAAAACGGATTGAAGATAGCAACCGTTCTCCATCTAACTCATAAAAAACAAGGTTAAAAACAAACGGTGTCAGTGCTCTACGTAATATTTTCGCGCTCTGTAAAGATGGCCACTGAGGGTTTTATTGCCCTGAGTGCAAGTATAGTACGGGTGCTTACAAAGTATCAACCCCACCAAAAGTAAATTATCTAGGCTCTAGTTGGTGGGTCAATTTTCCTGTCTAAGGCAGGGACCCAAAATTCGTTTTCCTCATAAGAACTGTACAGAGTCACTGTATTACCATGCTTTTTCATTCATTTACTTTTCGAACAAACATTCTCAATTAATAGTCGCTTAATACGGTAATTCAGTCCCACTTCACTTAAAGTCACGTGAAAATGCTTGAAAAACATTCGCAGAATCACTCTTACTATTGGTGCCGCCAACCCTTTCATGACCCCGAGTTCACCTCCAGATTTCGCGTTAAACTGAGATGTAGTGACCAGTAAACAGCATTCTTGGTTTGATAAAAATGGATCTACAGATCACTACCAGTGTATAAAATCTTTTGAGCAGGGTGGCTATTGCGTCTATTTTGACTGAAAAAGATGACGCCTTTCAGGCTGCCTCAACGTTGCTGCACTTGTACTTTCTGGTCATCAGGAGCGGGCTTATTATCACAGGAAATCAGTAACAATGCGTGTCTCCTCGATTGTTGCTTTTCTTGCCTTATATTGTACTAGCTTTCGTGAAATTAGTATGTAAAAAAACCGGAAAAGGTTCTTTCAAGAGGTTTGTCCACAAATGCAATGGCGAATTCAATCTTAAAATTAAGTCCGGAATCACATATTTTCTATATGTTTCTTACTGCCGGTCCAATACATCCAAGCGGCTGTCTATAAGTTATGCTATTTGGGGAAAACGAATGAACTTCTTTCCTAATCCTAACTGCTGAATTTAGAATGCAATTAAAGCTACCCATCTATTGAGGAGATTTACTTCGAAGCAGCAAACTTTTCACCGACTATTAAAAAAAAGTACATAATGGACATTCACAGTCCTTATTGATGTGACTTTGAGGTCACAGTCACGAGTAAGTTTGTCAGGTGATACTCCTTAGTAAATCGATTGAGTGAACTACTGTTGATTTTAAGGTCTTTGTCAGGTGATACTCCTGAGTAAATCGATTGAGTGAACTACTGTTGATTTTAAGGTCTTTCAATGATGCAGGCATCAAAGACCTTCTTCGTCTTTCGAGGCAGTTCGGGACGAAAATTACTGTCACATACGTTCGTTTGTTTTTATTCTTTTGTCGTGAATAGCAATGCTGTTTTTACCACATCAACCCTTTCGTAATTTTATACCTAGTGCTTTTGCTGGTTCATTTTGATCAGAATTAAAAATCGGGCTCTTCGGCAGCGATGTGTCTAAATGTGTTTGAATTAACCAAGAAAAACATTAGAAGTTCGGAGGGACTGGACGAACTACGACCAAGGTGCAATTCTGTTACCCCCAAAAAAGGAGATTCTCATTTGTATCCTATTGGATGTCAAAGCTTTATTCAAGCAATTTCAGCCTCAGCCTTGTGGTTCTTTGCAATTTAAAGTTTGAAAGTGAATACAGCCTTAACTCGGCCATAATTTTTCGATGTTGCTGTCTATGAGCTGTTAATGAACTGAACTTAGATTGGCTAGCACTGACGCCTTTATCGTCTGCGCAGTTGAAAATGTGAACGTAGTTTTATGGCATTAAACTCGGATGCATTCACGTGCGCATTCGCATGGCGGCTCCTGGAAACAGTCCAATTTAGTGCTTCACTAAAACTGGCCCATCTGTGATTGGATGATGTGAAAACTCACAAGGACACATACCGACTATCGATGAGCTGCAGTGGAAGTTTGGAACAATGTCTAAACTATTCACGGTGCTATACACTTCCTTGTCACCCCGTGTGTTACGCGTTCGACACACAATCTATCCAGGAAAGCAATTCTTATTGGCACTTGGTTGTCATAACAGCGTCGAGGAAACACTGGTTCGATTGTGCTGCGTATGAAACTCGAATGGTTGGATGTATGACGTCGAGGTATCCAAATCGTCAAAAAAGGCTGTGGTTAGCATTCAGAGAAAAAATTGTTGAACACTAGGAAAAATTGCTGCTTTATGTAAGGAATGTTCATTTTGCGAAATAATGCGTGCCGAAACGTCTCCGGCTTCATCAACACCCATAAAATACATAAGTCATACAACGTTTCAAATTGTCACAGATCTTCAAGCAAGTTCGCCGCGAATTTTAAACGGTTCCGGTACTAAGGTGAATTCACCTAGGTGTTCAAGAATTAAACCCTGCGGTAGCCAAAAGATCGGTGTGCTCAACTTACTGTCTGCCGATCGAATGTTTGAAAAGAGCAGCCCACCTGTCCTGACAATCCATTTGTCTCACGATTTTTGTGCTAACTTCTTGACTCGCAAAATTTCGACTATGAATTACGATTCAGTTTATAAACCAGACCCAAAGACTAACTAGTCTATTTTTGAAGACTTCTTTGTGTCGTCTCTTGAACCGAAAAGTTACTTCACTAGATCAGAAATGATAAGGTATTTTGTAGTTGCACGCATACTCTGGGCTCAGCTATCAACCGTTCACTTAGGTTGCTACAACTTGGTGCAAATGATTCGCCTCCGACCTGCACAGACTTTATTCCAGGTTGTCATTTAACTGAACGAGGGACTCAGATGGAAAGTGACCGCTCGAAAAAAATGGTAGCTAGGCAATCATGTTGAGCCAGGATCCCGTTGGTGCGGTCCTAATTTTAAGATCAAGTTCATGTGCTCCTGTCAGTATTTGAGTGCATATATGGCAACTTGAATCTGCCAGTCAGAGTGAGGTGATTTTCAAAGCCAATCTAAATGTTGGTGACGTTGCTGAATACGGGTCGCTCTGGTGCGCTGCTTGGTTGTTCGTCTGTTCACCGATCTTAGCGGTTGGATTGCAAACATCCCTTCATCAGTCGAGACGACGTCTTCAGTGCAGTGTCAATGGCAGTTTAATCCCAATTGGTTGTAAAACGTTTGCAATTCAAGTGTCTAGTTTGGCGAGTAGACCAACAATCAGGTTTGGGGGGTGGATAAAGGCTTGTTCAACTTGGATGCATTGTAGGTTAAAGACATGTCCGTCATCTATCTCGAGCTACTTAACTATAGCAAAGCATGAATATAGACTGACATGGTTGTGTAATATAGGTGAGTAAACCTTCGAAACTCACAATATTTTTATCACACTTTTCACACTGCCGAGAGTGAAAATGGGTGGACAAAAACTTATCATAAACAACAGCCTACAATAAAAAGTAAGCCCGAGCCAGGATGTACAGTGGTTTAGTTTTCGTAGTTTACATTATTGGGATTACCTTGCGCAGAGTCTTGTCATGTTGTGGGAGTGGCACGCAGGCAGGACAACATGCGGGACTGACTCAACAATCGGACATTGGGAAAATGGGTTTGTTGTACTCTAGCAGATCATTTTACTCAACCTGAATCACCTTTTGCTTCTGTTTACATTCAGCCGGAAAATCTTGTCCTCAGTTCTCGTGACGAGAACGCAGTCGTAAAAATAAGTGAGTCTTCCGCTTAGTGTACTTGTCTTTCCGTTATACACAAACGCACAACTCAGAATGGCATTTTACTCGTTTTGTTCCATGGTAAACTTGAATTTAGCCGTGTCTAACAACTTTACAATGAATATCAATTAAAGATCTTTATCGCTGTAGCTGTATGAATCACCACAATGAATGACATGGTAATAATATTTGGAGGCCAGTGGAGATTTTTTTCACCCCGTCTACTTTGAGATAGTGGCCCTTGCCTTGACTTGGGCGAAGGTAATTCTTTGTTTCAGCCGTGTCACACTCAGCGGACACTGTAGAGGCAAGTGCAGGCTTAAATCGATCGGTCTTACACATAATAGGAATCAAAGGGATGCTTGTTTGAGCACATTGTATGTTGAGCAGCTAGGTGCAGCAAAAATGATAGGCCCGTGGCACACGACAAAGAGCACAAGGCTACAGTTAGTGGGACAATAGTACTTTTGAGGCCATAATCGTCAACAAATGTGTCGTTAAAATAGTCCCTCTACGCAACAAAATTTTGAAACGTGTTGGAATAACGAAACCTACATAACGTACATGAGTTCCAGGCAGGGGATGGAGTAATTTCATGTGTACAGTTAGACTGCTAAATGGAAACAACCAAAACCATAATTCTGGAACTAAATGAACCGAAATAACAAAAAAGGTTCCAGGCAGTACGTTTCGAGCAACAAGCACATATCAGCTGGACAGTATTCACTTACCTCTGTAAAAGCACATCGTTGGAGAGGTCAGTAATCTTCCCGAAGATGATATCAAAGTCATCACTTGTTGCACTGAATAGCTGATTTAGTTGAGGTCACCACATGCTTTGAATTAGTAAATTCATTGCCATCGTTGATTTAAACCTACTGAATTGTGTGGGGAGCCGAAAATGTGGCAACGGATGGGTTTTTGTTCAGAACATTTATAAAATTCCAGCTACCCATGGCAGAACTTCAGTCCTAGCTTGTTGAAATGGGACGCTTAAACGAAATTCCTCAATATTGTCTTACAAGAAAAGTGTTCTTTGAGCCTCGAAAACACTGTAGACAAGATATAGTTTATAAAACCACCTTCAAATGCCTGAGTATGCATAAGGTCACACTTCAGCATCATGGTAATATTGACTACAGTTTATAAGGCGTCGCCTGTCCAGAAGGCAAAAGAGTGTAGGCTATCGTTTTTACTCGCTCCATGTTACTCCTGAACAACTTCTGTTGTTCCCTCTAGAGGATAAGTTCACTGCCATGTTGTTCAACCGAAAGATTTGTCCAGTCCATGCAGGGTTATGCAGCAAGAATCAGTCAGCTGTAGCAAACTGGAGTTAATGGAAAGCTTTGGGTGATTCATCTCCTTTCAAAACTGAGTTCCTTCAAGTAATGGTACGAATGCACTTGTAGACGAAAGTAGTTAAGCAAAAACGTTTATACGTGAAACTCACCATTTGTGCACATCGTGGCATCGTAGTATATCGAAATCATCATCCCAGACAATGAAAATTGCGTGAAAGCTTATTTCTCAGCATACATAACGATAAAAATCACCGTATGCAAGACGCAACTAACAGAATTCAAACAGTGGAGAGGAAGATATTTGCAACCGAGCAGCGCCAAAAGAAGATGCGATTCTGGGTCGATTCTACTTAGGATGTGTAAAGACACAAGAAAATGCTCACTTAGCATACAGTTATAACAACACAAGTCGTGGCATGAATGTGGAATTACGGATATTTCTCGCCAGGTCAGTCATCTTTAGCACAGCGTCTACAAATTTGAACTGTTCATTTAGTTATTTCGTTGTCACTAGTAGCATGTAAACAACTGGTGTGATAACCTGACATTTGCCTCCAAAGTTGGCCTCAAAAAGCACATTTTAAACACAATCATCCATATCGACAAATACACTCATTTTCAAATCAACTTGGTTCTCACCGGAGACTCAAGTGAGTCTCTCGTCCATGATGTTCTTCAACTGAATGTACTGCACACAGGCCATTTCATGTTTCATTTCGCAAGATATTCGAGATATCGTACTATATTCCGGTAAAGAAAACTACTCCCGAGTTTGCTTAAAACTCTTCGACAGCCCACGACCGGTTTCGCCCTTCTTGCAGCTCATCAGGTAGGCCCAGTCAACCGGTTTCCGTCAACTTTCTGTTCGACTTGAACCCAAATTAGACTGATTTGCATATCGGTTTGATTTTCACGACAGACTCAACTGAGTCTCTCGTTCAAGCGGAACATGGAGTTGACGGAAACTCAGGGCCCTCCCGTACCTGGTAAGCCCCAAGAAAGGCGAAACCGGTCGTGAGCTGTCGACGCGTTTTCATGAAGAAAAATCATCCATGCGTTTGTACAGTGGCGAATCATCCATTTCTCAAAGGCACAAAAACTGGCATAAGAACTCTCCTGCTCTGACTTCGCGGACCGCATCATTTGTGCTAACAACACTCAATACTGCTTAAAATACTTGTAATGAACGATGTATTAGCATCAAATAACTAGTATTTATTCAGCTACTGAAGATGTTCCGTGGTCTTTCCGAACAATCATTCTACAAGCCGCATGTGAACGAACAAAAATTACGTCAAAATCTTGGGATTCTATTACCCTTTGAAAATAAGATTTGTCTGTTCTAAAAATAACGCGAAATTCACAAAGTGCACATAATCGAGAAAATCAAAATTCAGCTGCTTTATGTTACTTAAGTGGCAGTGAAGTGCAGAATAGAAATGGTGGTGTGTGTATTTGGACAGATTTTAGAAAAATGTATTTTGTATTTGACGCCAGCGGATACCATAAACCAGGTGGGCTACGTTGGAGCCTAACATACTTTGGAAAGAGGCGCAGAGAATCAACGGAGAGAGTAGACCAAACTTCAGGGTGAACCAGATTTATAAATCACAATCCAACACTTTTGTTGTCTCAATGACATAAAATTAGCAATCGCTGTCACAACCAGTGAACCAGTAGAGATGAGCCAAAAGATAAAGATCACTGTGAATGCGATTCTGATAAACGAGATTGTTGCCTGTTGTCCTAAGAATAGGTGGCGTCCTGCAAAGTGTGGAATCGACCTTCGTGCAGGTTGCTACGTCGTACCGGACGTTATACAGGTGAACTTTTTCACAATGACTAGCAGTAAAGAACTGAAATTTCTAGCAAAACAAGAGAAGCAAACCAAACACATGACTGTTTATCTAGGAACAAATAAGCCTTGTGGGGTTACACAGGTTGAAAAAACCGCCAGTGTTCTTTAGGTTACCTGAAGTAAGCAGAGCACGGTAGAATTTGTTGACAGGTCTTGTACGTCGTCCTAATACCTAACCCTTTTCGAACATTATCTAGCATGTCAAAATACGCAGAGCGATATTACACCCAACTGGGTTGAGTTATTCCGTAAATTTGCTTCGCTAGAATGAATTTTCTACAATGAATTTTCTTCGTGGACCAAGATTACCAGCGGTTCCAAGCCCTAACTCGTACGACACCGTGAAATAATTAGGAATCAGGTGATGTTGCTCTTTTCAGTTTTGTGGAACGACTATACACCTCATATAATGGACACTTGGTATAATAAGCGGACCACACAAACGTGTGAGATCGTAACGACCTGTGGCCAGAAAGTATGATAAGAACGGACTACTGGTGCTTAGCCCCAGTTGATATAAAACTTTTACCTCCGTCGCGAAACAAGTGATATGCTTTTCAGATTCACATAACAATAATCTCACGAGAGCGGAATCGATAAAGTGTTCTACATCAGATAACCTACTGATATTTCTGTCCGATTATACACGATTTGGACTGTCCGCAAGCTATTAGCAATGTTGTAGAATGTAGGTGGCTCGGGTGCGCTGCTTGGTCGTTAGTCTGTTCGCCGAGCTTGGAAGTTGGATTGCAAACGTTTCATCACCAATCGAGTCGGTGCATGGTTCAGTGGATGGATTCCTCCTCTTCTGCCCGTGGTTATATAGCTTCTAAACAGTATCTGGTAGTTCTGGAAACGGTCTTCGCGTAGTTTGATTGGTTTCCTGTGAATCTGACGTGTTCTCAATTTCCTGTGTCTGGTTGGTTAGTTGCGGGCCAGTCGCAAGCTAACCGCAAGCAAATCGAATTCACTGTTGGATCTTAAAGCATGTATAATTAAGTAGTAATGAGATAAATGAGTAAATAGACAAATAAATAGATAACAGGCAAAGAAATAGACAGTAATTAACCGAGTGATTTGCAGGAAATACGACCGTATTGCCCTCAACTTGAAAAGTCCTTTACCCATCCTGTTACCGACTGTCAGTCGTGGGTGGATTCATTGCAGTGACAGACAGTGTGAGCCTTCGAACAAAAAACGGCCAACATCCTTTAGGTCAACTGTCAGTATGACCGCACGATTAACAGTTTTTCTTTCAAGCCTGTGCCTAATATTATAACGGGGATGCTGCAAAAGATCGATTGTTTTAGATGACATGCTAATCAGCACTGAGGAGGCGGGTAACACAGTCCTCTCCATTTCTTCATTTTCACACTTATGAACGAGGGTGAAATTTTCGTAAAGGAAATGAGATCATCAGACGCGAAATACACTCGGAACAAATTAAATTTGGCCTTGCGAGAGGCTCACCTGGAACCTAGCTGAATCTCTCGTTTGTGATGTCGAAAAATTTTCAGCAACCTTATGAGTAGTGCATTACGAATATCAGCAGATGCACCTATAGAGTGCAGATATTTCGCTGAGGCTCGTTCTTCAATGACCTTTTTCTCCATGTATCGGAAAAACTGTTGAAGACTGCTGGAGGAACTACTTATTTGGGAATCCTTGAACCCGGCATGTCACTGAGAGGAAGCTCCATGGGATAAAAGTACCCCATTTTTGCAGCACTTCACAGGCATTGTCATAAAAAGATGTCTCTTTATCAACAAAGTAGGGTTTCTCTAGCTTTTGTGTGCAATCAATCCTGTTTACGATTCAAAACCATACACACCTACAAAGACTTATAAAACGTGTTGGACGTCGGACCAAATTTATTTTCCTCGGCTGAGGTTTGTTACACTAACCGCAGACAGTAGTTCGAAAAGGATCAAGGGACGATTTCGCTGTAGCTTAGTCATGTTTCGCAAAAGCTGAGGCGGTTGCTACCGCATTGAACCTCGACCTTCTAAGCCCCATCCCTTGAAGAGGTGAAAGGTGGTCAATCCGTTCCCAAGTTGGAAAATTCCTGATTGAACATCTTAGTGAGGCTAACAAGTCTCTTATGCATGAGACTCAAATAGGTCTCTCGTTTACGACTGTAGCACTTTCTGGTGGGAAATCATATTATTGCACTCATCGGTGAGCTTCACTGTCTACACTAGTTGGTCCAGCATTGGAGTTTCAGCCCTCCAGTTTCATTACCTACTACACCGTCCGCAAAACTGCCATCTTTTGATATCTTTATTTCGTCAGTGGTAAATAACATAACAACTGCAACAGATATGTTTTACGACTTTGAAGAGTGAAATTCATCTTGGTAGGTCTGAGTAATGCTCCGATCACACTTGATGTGGCATGCCGAGCAGGCGTCTAGGGTGATTTCCCTGACAACAGTGGGCCTAAGTAACATGATATATTCAGAAAACTGTGTTTATAAACTCCAAAATATTGCATTTTTTTATTGATCATTACAAACGGAGTGAAATTTTGAAAAGTTCTGCATCCTTGTAGCCAAAAGCTGCCAGCACAGGGCTAAATCTTGTAGCCCAAATTATCCCTCAGTTCATCCCACATAATACTTCGGCAGAATATCCCAATGTAAGAACGACGGCCACACTGAGACATATATTCAGGAAATTGTGTTCATAAACTCCAAAATATTGCATTTTTTTATTGATCATTACAAACGGAGTGAAATTTTGAAAAGTTCTGCATCCTTGTAGCCAAAAGCTGGCAGCACAGGGCTGGATCTTGTAGCCCAAATTATTCCTCACTTCATCCCACATAATACTTCGGCAGAATATCCCAATGTAAGAACAACGACCACACTGAGACATGGTCTTGATGTCCCGTCCTCAGCTGTCAAAATATATTTTCTCCATAGAAAACATTTTGGTCTTGTCCCCTGATCTTGGCATCCAAGGCACCAGAGAGCGTTGAATACCAGCTTTGACTCGACGTTGCGTTCACTTCACAGTCAACCTCTTCTACTAGTACAACTATTCCACACCAAAGGAGAGCCTTTGATTTGTGTTTTACTCTGATAGCAGTTAAACCCACCACCAGCCCATATCCTTTGCCAGGTCTTGAATTTATGGCAGTACATAATACGTGAACAGAGAGTAGTTTACCACTAATCGACCAGCGCGCGCTGCGCTCTCGAGTTATCGTGCCTTAACAGTCGATCACCTGATTGAAGTAACTGATTTGCTGGACGCCTCCAACGACGATCCAGTAAGTGTAATTGGTGTGGAAAAGATAGAAGAAGTGCGGTAGGGGGACTACCCAGACAAGTACGTTTTGAATGCGTATTCCATAGATTCGCGACCGCCTACAACTAGCTAGACTCGTGTTACAACATGGCGCGAATAGCTCTTGCTGGCCTTCAGCAATAAGATAAGGGAATCATAGACGTAATGCGCTACGTATACGGTTAATGAAAACTCTCCGACAGCCCACGACCGGTTTCGCTCATCTTGGGGCTCATCGGGTAGCAGCAATCCCCGAGTTACTGTCACTCTTATGTTCTACTTAGACCCAAATCGCTTCAGCACGCCACAAAGGAGATATTCAGACGGATTCAGCGTGAGTCTCCCGTCAAAACCAAAATGGTATGCAAAAGAGTGTAGCGTTTCGCTAACTTTACTTACCTTGAAACTTCTACTGGATGTGTGTTGCAAAATACACTTTTTGCCTAATCCCATTCACGTCAGTACATTTTCACGTTGAGCATTATAACGTGAGGACATTTTGGCATCACTCACCACAATGAAATGATGAGTACTCGTTGAGACAACATTCAGTAAACAATCGCTACCTATCGAAGAGGTCTTTGAAATGACAACTTCTCGATCCTTTCCAAGATTTCTCTTATTGATCCCAACAGTGTGTCTTTTGGAAACCTGACTCAGCTTATCTATTTCTGTCATCGCACCAAACAGCTGACGCCGCACTGCACAATTTTATGATTGAAGATATGGACATCGAAGTATTGTGTTGCAATACAATTTTCTGTGCCCCTGAGCTGCTGACAAGTCGAATATTTGACAAGACGTTCGACCTTTGGGCATTGGGAATCATCCTACATATTATGTAAGTTCATTTGTTGTTCTACTGGGAGGAACGCAGTTAGGTTACGCCATTGCTAGCCAGAACATTCATTGGTACGGTGTACATGTGCTAAATCAACTACTGGGAGGAACGCAGTTAGGTTACGCCATTGCTAGCCAGAACATTCATTGGTACGGTGTACATGTTGCTAAATCAAAGAGTTATTCGAGTTTATGCGGTTATCAGGTCCAGGAAAATTACTTCCTTGATTCGTATCAGAACGACGGCTCCCAGTCTTGTTTGCAAAGACAACAAACAACGGTAAGAGAAGCAAGGAAAGAGTACTAGCCACCGTTCGATACTTATTATGAAAATACTCGGCCGGTTAGGTCTGCAACTTGAAAAGCTTATCGTAGTTTTCATTATATGGGACAGAGTTCTTCATGGAGGTTTTCCCGTTTGACGACTGGAAAAATTCCTCAAGGAAATAAAAATAGTAACACTCCTTCACTGTAACACCCGTTCGGTTCCCAAGTGACATCCAATCCAAATGCAGCGCAAGAGCTGAGATTTTGCCTGGGGCAGTTGAGATGCACAAGTTGGTTTCTACCCACGGACCTTTCTGTCTGTAATTTTGCGCCCTAACCGCTGAGCCAGTTTCAACCCAGCATAGGGTCGTCAGTAACTCGTCAAAAGTTAAGCTTGTCTGGATAAAAAGCAATCGGGAAGAGACAGTTCCGTCTCAGTCGTTTCATCAACTTCGGTTGAAATGGACGGATAAAAAGTATCGACATGTTTCATATAGCTCAGCACCACCTATTGACCTAGAGTCTCATCGTCATTCACAAACATGGTTAGAGACTGTGTAAGCTACAGCTGATTTCACACTCGAACTGTTTGGCCAACATCCGTCAAGCATTAAAACATAAACAACGGCCAAACTATCCTTTGAAGTCACAAGTGAATTTGAACATGAATGTCCTAGTGTATAGCGCCAGCTCGATTCAGACCCTGGTTCATGCATGTGGATAAAAAAACACTAGTAGCTGCTGGCAGTTACACCAAAAATTTATTTTCATTTCGACACTACTGCGCTGCTCATTCCATCCTTTCCACACAAGCTCACATCAGATTTCTTTGAAATTTTGGTTGGACCCCAAACCAGTAAGAGGTCCTTCTACTAGTCTGATAAATTAATAGCGTAAGTGGCCAAAGAACAAATGATTCGCACCTTACTGGTTCTGCTGAAGTTGTTCACCATGCTCACATTCTCCCCCCTCACAGGTTATGCGGGTCCGACCCGTATTTTCCAAAAACAGACAGCGAACTCTATCGGGCCATCTTGAATGGGGAATTGTTGTTTGATAATGAAGCTTGGGAAAAAGTGAGCTGGAATGGACGAGACGTGGTCAGGGGGTTGTTGGTGGTTGATCCGCCCCAGCGATTGAATACAGTCCAGGTGCTCGAACATCCGTGGGTATCAGGAAGATACACCCCATCTGAACCACATCTGCAGTTGTCACAAAGCCAACTGATACAGTTCGTTGAACGTCGAAAAGAATGGGTAAGCTTTGTCCGCCAGTGGATACGTATCTGTTTTACACAATGCTGCTGGTTGTTGACAAATTCCAACGGCAAAGTCATCCGCTTACTATGTTTCATTGAGGCCCCATCGCTAAATTTCTCTACTTGAATAGAACAAAATGCCACACCGTTTGATCCCTATGGAGAAATCTGACACCAAGCTAGTGTATTTCGTAGTCCCGAACAGTGACAAATAGCCAAACAACGTCGATATGCGCAACCAAAATTCTACCACAACGGACAATTCAGCAGAACATAGGCTTTCAGGTGGATAACTCGATAGTATGGACAAGTTCAACGGCCCGGATAGTTGCATACACTGCATTATGGCGGAAAGAGAACACTTTCCCAAATCTGGAATGCAAATGTAGGCTTTATTGATGGTATCAGTCATGGGGTCATACCATTCTTGATGGTGTTTATGATGTCAACATTACACCAGTCTGCCTGGCATAGTTTGGATGCATACATGTGACCCATACCTGCTCCCTAATCTGTTACAGGAAGCAGACAACGGAAGACGTCTGTTACACTCTTTAGAAGCACTGCCAGGGTCAGATCTACAGTATGTAGTTGTATTAGAGGTCCTTCCAAAGAAGTGGCTCGCGCAAGATAGGCGAGTTTAGGAGAGCTGCATAGGTTACGGTTGATTATTTATCCGCCTTGCACACAATGGAACCCCTGTTTAGCACAGCTCCCTAGTTTAATGTTAAGGCAACTCAGAAGCAGTCAGCCTGGCAGCTGGTGTAGCCACCCAGTCACCCACATACTATACTGTCTGTATTGCTAGCCAGAACATTCATTGGTACGGCGTACATGTTGCTAAATCAAGGAGTTATTCGAGTTTATGCGGTTACCAGGTCCAGGAAAATTACTTCCTTGATCGGTATCAGAACGACGGCTCCCAGTCTTGTTAGCAAAGGCATCCACCAACGGTGATAAAAGCAAGAAAAGAGTACTAGCTACCGTTCGATACTTAGTATGAAAATACTTCGCCGGTTAGGTCTGCAACTTGAAAAGCTTATCGCAGTTTTCATTATATGGGACAGAGTTCTTCATGGAGGTTTTCCCGTTTGACGACTGGAAAAATTCCTCAAGGAAATAAAAATAGTAACACTCCTTCACTGTAACACCCGTTCGGTTCCCAAGTGCCATCCAATCCAAATGCAGCGCAAGAGCTGAGATTTTGCCTGGGGCAGTTGAGATGCACAAGTTGGTTTCTACCCACGGACCTTTCTGTCTGTAATTTTGCGCCCTAACCGCTGAGCCAGTTTCAACCCAGCATAGGGTCGTCAGTAACTCGTCAAAAGTTAAGCTTGTCTGGATAAAAAGCAATCGGGAAGAGACAGTTCCGTCTCAGTCGTTTCATCAACTTCGGTTGAATTGGACGGATAAAAAGTATCGACATGTTTCATATAGCTCAGCACCACCTATTGACCTACAGTCTCATCGTCATGCACGAACATGGTTAGAGACTGTGTAAGCTGCAGCTGATTTCACACTCGAACTGTTTGGCCAACATCCGTCAAGCATTAAAACATAAACAACGGCCAAACTATCCTTTGAAGTCACAAGTGAATTTGAACATGAATGTCCTAGTGTATAGCGCCAGCTCGATTCAGACCCTGGTTCATGCATGTGGATAAAAAAACACTAGTAGCTGCTGGCAGTTACACCAAAAATTTATTTTCATTTCGACACTACTGCGCTGCTCATTCCATCCTTTCCACACAAGCTCACATCAGATTTCTTTGAAATTTTGGTTGGACCCCAAACCAGTAAGAGGTCCTTCCACTAGTCTGATAAATTAATAGCGTAAGTGGCCAAAGAACAAATGATTCGCACCTTACTGGTTCTGCTGAAGTTGTTCACCATGCTCACATTCTCCCCCCTCACAGGTTATGCGGGTCCGACCCGTATTTTCCAAAAACAGACAGCGAACTCTATCGGGCCATCTTGAATGGGGAATTGTTGTTTGATAATGAAGCTTGGGAAAAAGTGAGCTGGAATGGACGAGACGTGGTCAGGGGGTTGTTGGTGGTTGATCCGCCCCAGCGATTGAATACAGTCCAGGTGCTCGAACATCCGTGGGTATCAGGAAGATACACCCCATCTGAACCACATCTGCAGTTGTCACAAAGCCAACTGATACAGTTCGTTGAACGTCGAAAAGAATGGGTAAGCTTTGTCCGCCAGTGGATACGTATCTGTTTTACACAATGCTGCTGGTTGTTGACAAATCCCAACGGCAAAGTCATCCGCTTACTATGTTTCATTGAGGCTCCATCGCTAAATTTCTCTACTTGAATAGAACAAAATGCCACACCGTTTGATCCCTATGGAGAAATCTGACACCAAGATAGTGTATTTCGTAGTCCCGAACAGTGACAAATAGCCAAACAACGTCGATATGCGCAACCAAAATTCTACCACAACGGACAATTCAGCAGAACATAGGCTTTCAGGTGGATAACTCGATAGTATGGACAAGTTCAACGGCCCGGATAGTTGCATACACTGCATTATGGCGGAAAGAGAACACTTTCCCAAATCTGGAATGCAAATGTAGGCTTTATTGATGGTATCAGTCATGGGGTCATACCATTCTTGATGGTGTTTATGATGTCAACATTACACCAGTCTGCCTGGCATAGTTTGGATGCATACATGTGACCCATACCTGCTCCCTAATCTGTTACAGGAAGCAGACAACGGAAGACGTCTGTTACACTCTTTAGAAGCACTGCCAGGGTCAGATCTACAGTATGTAGTTGTATTAGAGGTCCTTCCAAAGAAGTGGCTCGCGCAAGATAGGCGAGTTTAGGAGAGCTGCATAGGTTACGGTTGATTATTTATCCGCCTTGCACACAATGGAACCCCTGTTTAGCACAGCTCCCTAGTTTAATGTTAAGGCAACTCAGAAGCAGTCAGCCTGGCAGCTGGTGTAGCCACCCAGTCACCCACATACTATACTGTCTGACTCACAATCGCTCACTGGATCGCGAGGCTTGTCTTTTGTCTCATGCGCACAAACACGTCGCATTAAGCTGGCTCATCGGACATCGATTGTCTGCACCGCCTAGTCAGTGTAGCAACCACTCATGTGCCGACGCGCCCACATACACGCACTGGGACCTACATAAAGGGAAACCGAACCCAGTCAGGACACACAGACTCGCGCGCGCGCGCAGGGAGCAAGGAGTCAGCCAAGCGCTCCAAGTCCACGGACAATCATGGAACACGTGTAGCAGCCATACTGCGAAGAAAACACGTTCGCACCGTCCGGACTTTTACCAAGGGACTCTCACATACGATAAGTTCCCTTTTGACTCGCTCCCACTTCACACTGTATTTATTTTTATACGTATCGCAACCATGCTAAAAACTTCTATTGGTGCACATACACCTTCTGATTTGTATTATGGCTATCACCACCTGTGCACTAATACTTCCTCTCCTTGAGTAGGGATTCCTGAGGAAGAATCGTCCAGTGACATACGACTCGAAAGCGCAGCCAACGAGGTCAATGAGATGGTCACGCAAGCTATTGTAAATTTTTCAAGGTTGCTGTAGGGTCCGGCGCCTAAGGATCTCACAAGACGATGGCGACTATAAGATCATACGCAGTTCGTAGCCAGTAGTCAGTAGGAGCAGTCAGACGTGAGCAGCAGATGACGTATTGGGGACTGACAGGAACTGGTTCTACAGACAATGGATTAGTAAGCATCATGAATTAAGCAAACGTACAATCAATAATGACGCAATCAGCAGGATCGGAAAATAGTCACTGACGCAGTGGGGATTTCTAGAAGCAACAACAGGTAAGCACCACATGATGTACAAACATACACATGGGGACGGTTTGACAGTATGAGTTGGCCGTATAGAGAGATAACGGCGCAGGAATCAGTACGTTCGGGATGTGAGGGACCGTCTTACGGTCGGCGACGCGCCGCGGCAGCTCGTGTCACGTGACAAGTCAGATTTCGCGGTTTCGTCCGTTTAAAATAAATCTCGCCAAAGAATATCTGACAGGTACGGTAAATGAGTAATAGGCCACTCAAGGCGTCAGGTTGGTGTGGTGGATGGTGTGTTCACCTACAGTCCGGAGATTCAGGGTTCAACATCCGGTCGGTCCGCTTTTCCGTCGGAGTGGACGCTCGAAAATAGGTGCAATCGTAACGGACGGGCAAAAAACATTCACATCAGTTACTGAGGAATAAGCAGACCTTAAGTAGAGACGAAACAGGGGGAAAGGAAACAGCAAGGAAACAAACCGAGGTCATAATGAAAAGGTGTAAGTCACGTTATTTATGAGTAGTCAGATAACAAGGAAATTTACCGCGGTTCACCGTTGATTCACAGGGGGAATCAACAGTTGCCCTTATTAGCGATTCAACTACGAGGGCAGACGTACGTGTGGTCAGCTGGAAAAGCTTAAGCTTGTTCATCCTGCCTCTCAAACATAGGTCCAAGTCATAATTTTTGTGGCTAATGTAAGAGATTTTGAATGCCGGACATCCAAAACCACCAGTGGTTCTTCGCTGGTCCAAAAAGACTCAGAACCACTCTATGCTCTTGCTTATGGTAGCCGGATGTATAAAACAACCCATGAGAGTAGCAACGAAAAATGCCTTCAGAAGTTAAGACGACTAAATGAATCAGATGTATTCACTTCTTTTTGTCAACTTGAAACCTTCGAATGGCCATCAATTGTGGGGAAATCGATGCACTTGTTTACGAACTTCTTCCTTCACCACTGCTATTCATACTCGCTTGAATTGGTATTCCACACATTGGGCAAAGCATTCTCAATACACATTCGCAACCCGATGATATATAATCACTCGCAAATTAAGTGGATTTTGATAAAGCCCAGCTGGATCTCTTGTTTAGAATATCCTATCCTAGGACTATGTTCCTTGATTAGACTGCACTCATGAGGTGTATCCGGTCCAGCCTGATGTCCAAATGTTCTACCAACCTTAAAGGTAGTATCATGTCAAAAATGTGATCGTTCTTCTCATGCTACCTGTGTATGCACCTACTCCTGTTCGAATCGATCAAAGCGGTCTTGTTATATTAGTTACAGCTTACATGACTATCTCTTAGACGTGATATAGTTTACTAGTGACAAGAATGCTTTTAAGTATCGGGGTGTTCGGGACCATGGATCCAGTTCGTGGATGGACAGTCTTGTATTTTTGCGTATTCCACCGAAGGAGATTATGTATCTTTGACTTAGGATAAGCTGGGATTTCTCACTCACATCTCATCTGCCTGTTCCACGTGATTGTTGCCCGTGCTTCCTTCAGGATGGCGCAAACCGCGAGGTGGACAGCACATGACTTGGTAGAAAGGCGTGAAAGAGATCACGAGAAGTTTGGGTGTTGTTGGTGTTGTGAGACTTCCAGGATGGGGTCCCCGTGACCCCGTCTGTGCAAGAAATGACGGCTAATCGATGTCAGTGGCGTTCTTGCTGTCNGGTTGTACGGCAGTGAAGCATCAGTGCCAACACTGATGTTGCTGTCTTTGATGATGATGATGATGATGATTGTTGCCCAATCAACCAAAGTTGTTAAAGCGTAAGATGTACGCTTTTTTCATCCGAAACCAAATAGAGCAAACTAGGGTCCAAAAAAGGGCTTATAATTCATTCATACTGTTCGTCCTAGCTTACTAAGGGGTCAATTCGTACTAATACTACGACAGACTGTGTTTCGCAGGTGTTTTATCACTAACACGTCTCACCATTATGTTCGTCATTCAGAATCAGCGAACTTCGTTGAAACGGTCCAGCAAGCCAAGCCTCTCCTCTATGGGTGGAGTAAACTGTGGACAGAAACCCATCAGGCTGATCGACGTTTGATAGAAGGCACCAGGACAATCTGCAATATAAAGTTTTGTTTCAATCTGATCTACCAAGAATGTCCGAGTGATGCGATATTTCAATGTCATTTAAATAAAAACTTTTTTGGTTCTGCTCATGTGTCTATTAGTTAGTAGCAGAGGAGGCTGAATGATAACACGTCTGGTATCCGATCGTTCAGTTGAAGTTTCTTTCATTCTACCCGTTGGTTGGTTGGTTTGGATTTATTCCTTTTGGGAAGATATGATTGCGAGTACGAAAATGGTATCTGCTCTTTAACTACATACAATGCGCTACTGCAAGGTGCGGCTGGAAATCAATACCGGAGGATTTGATGCCTTCAGTTTCTATCCGGAAGACCTAACTAAGTTTTACGGAGACAACAATGTTGAGGGTTTTTTATGTTTAGACAGACCTTTTTGAAGTGACATATCATCATTGTTCCCTTGAGAAGCGCTTGAATTCAACGCAGAAGCTGCTATTGGACTCCTTTCGTTGCCTTTGCTATGTAAACATACACTTGGTTAACAGTGACTCTTCAAGCCTTATTCGAAACGGGAAGGCATGCTGGTTCCGACGACTTTTTATTCACGTTGGATGTAATATAGTAAACTCTGCTGAACAACACCAGCTGACAGACAGCTGCTTGATAACGAATGCAGAAGACCACCAGAACAGCTAATTTATCATGACCATCGAATCCGTACAAAGAGTAGCCGATAAGTTATCGGGCGAAAATACTGGCCACTGGAACACTGGACGGTTCCAAACTGAGATTAGTTTTGAGAATTAACTCAAAATAGTGACCTGCGTAGTTCTCGAACGGTCACGATACGAGATGGGCAAACAAACTAAGGAAGTGATATGCCTCATTTTTCCAACCATTAGTCAATACAAACGGAGCTGTTCAGTGTGTTGATTTAAATAGAAGCGCTGAAGTGCCTTTGAGCGTACCAGCGACATCCTATGCTCGGCGTCTGAAGATAGATCAGGAAGGTATATCTACTCCAGAAAGGTGGCGTAGATGGTGGTCGTTGGCTTGTTCGCTGAGCTGGGCAGTTTGATTGCAAACGTTTCATCACCAATCGAGGTGATATCATCAATGGGTTATTGGGGAGCGTAGTAGTGCGTAGCGGTGGGTTAGTGGTTGTCTCTACTTTTTTACCCTTTCGCGGATAGCAGTACGAACCTCATATCGCCGATTACTGATCACGATTAATTTACCGAAGAATTGCTAATCTGAGGAGAATAACCTTGGCTTCAACTGTCACAACAGTCTACTGTCAGTCCCACAAGTAGTCTGGTACTGAGTTTATGCTTCGCTAATATCTAGTGGATTCGGATTCTACATCTCTACACTAAATTTTGGCACCAACTCAATACTTCAAAGCATTCTTGCTTTGGTATTGATTGTGCCTTGTCATGCTGATATTTTACATGATTAATATGACAAATCTGAGCACCTTTCGCTGAAGTACAAGAACGCTTACATGTCAAACATTCTGTCCACTTCAGCTCCGATCTCCAAAAACTTTCTGATGCTGAAGTGATATATATCGGGATAGGAATTCCAATGACCGTTTCCCCGGATCGGTTTTCAAAAAGAAGAGTTCGTTTGATGGACCTTTTTCATCGGTTTCAACAATCTAAACTTAAATGTAGCATTTCTCCAATCATCCTTCAAATACAGTGAGGAGGAAACACTTTCTTACCCTTTAAGGATATACAGTGTATTGATCACTAGCTAATTTAAACAGTGCTACGAGACAGCTGGTTGCAGTATATTCCTTTTTCATGTGTATTATTACAATACTCCGTTCCTCCCCATAAAATATCCATTTGAGCGATAAACATAATATCCATTAACAGCGACAAATGAAAAATATTTCACTGAGAACACCGCAAAAATGACCGTTTTTTTTAACCAAGCATTCATTTCTGAACCAAAGACAACGATACGGTGATTTTTAAACGAATCTGTTGTTTATGTTTCAGTTTTTACAACTTTTCATTGTTTATTTTTCGTTTAATATTGGTGATAATTCCAACCGAGTTTTGATGCGATCCAATTTTTCGTTTGATTCCAGATTAGCGCGGCTACCGCTGGGGACTTAGTTGAAGATTCCGAACGAATTTCAATGAGTGGAACGGAGAGAAACGTTACAAATAATGTAAGCGTGGTATGTATTTAACCTCGCAATGTTCCACCCGAGTGTTTCATCAAGAGGCGTCGCTGTTTTTCCGAAACGGACTGATATTGATCTTTCTCCAGGCTTTAGTCAATATGCACCACTTGTGACATCAAAAAACATGCCACTGGATCTCAGAACACGCATATATCAGACCACACTGCGATGAATTCAAAGACTTAGCCACTTCCGTTGGATAATTTGAGACACCTTCAGGTCAGAACTATAGCTGGAACAAGCTGAAACCACCGAATTCGGAATGAAGTGATCAGGATACGAGTCTCTAGCGTAGTGGAAAGTAACTCAATCAGAGGATGTACCTAGTAATGCAGGTCAACGTGGCTGGGGCACGTGTATTCCATGAATGCTCACTGTTTTCTGATATGGAAATGAAAGATTGAAACGACCGAAGATTCCCGTAGTAAGATAAATGTTTTATAAACCGAAGCCAGCTTAGAATCAAGATTTTCACGTATATTAGGAGTACTAATTTTTTTGTTCCCGCCTACCATTTCCACTGATTTGTAAACTGATTTGTGCGGTCCATTAATCATCAAGGCACAGTTTTACCGAGTGCTGGAGGTACATGTGGGATTAGGTGGAGACTATCCAGATTTTCAGTGATTTTCGGTGCCATTGCAGCTAACGCAAACGAAAATCGAAGCTCAACGTGTTCGGGGGCGAAAGAACTGAATAAGGTAACACTACACCTGTGGTACCTCCAAAACTACAGCAGATAAGCGTCCCCGACCAAGATAGCAGCACCTGAAACGTAGGGAGCGTTCGCACGGCCACCGTTTCCTTAAGAAGGATAGAAATTCAGCCCATCAGGACCTATTGCTCGAACAGAACAAATGGGATCGGATAGGCGTTCGAACAGTGCCTTCCTTCATTGCTAGTCCATTAAATTAACCCCATTCTCACTGTAACATTTCAGATCAGCAATGGAAATTACGAAGAACAAACCGGCAGGCCGAAGCATGGTGACACAGCAGAATCGGATTCATTAGAGGTTTGTAATTCAAACAACTATGTTATACTCCAGACTCACTAACTTCACTAAACATATGTTGTGGGAACTCTCGGTTCAATCGTTAGTTCCGATGTACACACCTGGAAGAAGTTTTCACTCAAACTTACTAGTGAACCGAATACCAGCTGCGAGATGCACCACGTTTTCTAGTCAATCTAACCACATAGGTACTCTCATGTAATGTGATTCCTAAAGACTGCATTCTGGTAATAAGATCCCGCAACCAACCGGTGTGATTTGTTCTGTACTCCTTAGTCAGCTCGATTATTTCAGCACACCTACCTCCAGCATTCAGCTTCTCCTCACACTATGATTCCAAAAGATGACATTCGAATATAGGTCAATAGAAGGCTTTTGCAGCCGAAAACCACACCGGGACATCAGTGTTCAACACCGATGCATCACTGCCGTACAACCATGATTTATTTGAAAGTCTTATTGTAAGGAAAATAAAGTTGGACGTGGAAGGGACTTAGTGCTAGCTTAACACAATCATTCCGAGGTGCCTATACCTCCAGACATTCACTCAAGCGATCTGGATAGAAACTGACAACAAGAACACCACTGACATCGGTTGGCAGCCATATCTTGTGGTGTCTCCAACTAGGCAGTGAGGATCACGTGGTCCCCATCCTGGAAGACGAGTGGCACCGTCAGCACCCAAGCGTTTCGTGATCTCCTTCATACTCCTTTGCCAAGTTTAGGGTTGGTCACCTCCCTGTTTACGCCACTCTGAGTTGGGCATGGAAAACAGCACTCTCTTCGGCAAACGAAGAGAGTTCAACGCTGAAGTCGATCCTCTGGATAGACGATGTTCCTCATCAGGCAAATTACCGACTCAAACCTGTGTATGACTTTTTTTTACATTATTTCTGTAAGTTCTCCGCTCTATAGCGTCCGCTGGACTGAAGCCGTTCATTGAACTTTGGAGCTAAACTGAATGAAAAGGACGATTTTGTGCTCATTTGTTCCATAGTTTGACAAACCATTGTGATGTTCATGCTTCATAGTACGCATCTGCTACTGACACCTTACCAATTTCACACTGGCAAAAAGAATTCGCGCCACGTTCAAATGTTTATGGAGCCAGTGCGACTTGGCCAAAAACCTGCGGTCCTAAGAGAGGGAAAATAGAATAACTTGTGCCAGCAGAATACCTGGTTCATTTTGCGAACTGTTCTCACGGAGTAGGTGGTTTGAGTTCCTACCAAAGCTTACCAGAATTCCATGCTATTTGGCTGACGCAGATGTGTTCCGAATACTGCCAGCTGAAAAAAGTTCCAACCTAAAAGTAATCTATCCAGGTAAATGAAACACTAGAAAGACCCATGAGCAGACGAAACCGAAGTAGATGTATCTGTGAAATACACTCATTTCCATACTAATTTGGTTTTGACGAGAGGTTCATCTGGAACCCAGCTGGATATCTCGTTCACGATGTATCTGTGTTTCATAGAGATCATCTTCACTAGGGGAAGCTATTTCTTCAAATCGCCATCGTTTGAACAATTCCACCCTTGTTCTGACACGATCATTCTTGTAAATTCGCACTAAAACAAGTACTGAGGAAAGGAAAGTGATCGAGCACAAATATAAACACACGAGTGTAAATATCGAAAGTTACAAGTTCCAGGGAAATACATCCGGCCGTCCTTTGAAAAGTAGTCAAAGGAGCCCACGTCCATCTTGGACGTGGTACCCATCATGGTTTCGTAATGTTCGGTGAATGTTGAGTTTTTTTTTATCGTGGAATACAATCCTATTCCTTCCACACTTGTTCGTTAATAACATGCCCCAAAGTGTTGTGTCCGGCCAAGGCAGGCAGCAGATTTAGACATATCATCCCGACTTCGAATCTCGTCCCATTGATCTGTGGTGCAGTATTCTATTGTGATGCTAAGTTAATTGTCACACTAAAAGGGAATCGTATCATGGTGGGACAAGCAACCTAGCAATGGTGAATGCCGTACACACCCACAGGGTTATATTACGGGGTCCTCGCAAGGAGGATTGCAATATGTGGGCCGCATAGTGGAAGCGAAACGGACACAGACAACCTAAGAAATCCGTCACGAAGTAATTACGCTATTTGGTCAAGGAGTACCCACAAAACATGATAGCTCATCAGAATGAATAGTGTCCCCACCGCAAAGTTCGCCCGGCGAGATCGTGTTGTGCTTAGTTCTCCAGCCAGTACCATGTTCCCATCAAACGAATTCAGTCAAGTATTTCAACTAGGCTGTTGTTTGATTTGAACTTGTGTTTAGCGGCCGGAAATTTTGTATTCCAAGTAAAAAAAACCCACCGTTAATCCGCATACTACTAACGCGTGAATAGATAATTCAACACAATGGACCTTCACCCAGTTGGTCGCGTACACCAAAACAATCAATTACGTATTGTACCGTAGTTCATATTCAGCCATCCGTAAGAAATACGAAAAAAGATACGAACAATAGGCCGACTATAAACGGTTAGCTTCTTCTCTCTAAGCCTTTTAGTTTGGTTGTTCATTGAATTACCAACTTTCTGCTCAGTCGAAATCCACGTTTTGATTGTGCTGCCTAAGAGTTTGTTAGAACCAGTTCTCCAGTGCTGGTCCACATATTTTTGCCTGTTTCTCTTGGGCGGAAGTGGATTTGAGGTTCTATTGGCACGTGTTTTGAGAAGACGCGTCAGAGGAGCTTTATGGACCTATCTATACCATCACCCAAAATGTGATCGAAAGGTTCCAAGCGATGGAACCGATTACCATTGAAGTGTAAGCCTAAGCAGAGTTTAATCATATAGTATCTGACGGCGTATAATCTCTGACAAATCAATCTTTATCCGCAAAGAAAATTTTATTAATCCATAAGCTCGAAGTTTACTTCACCTGCTAATGTCAAACTGTTTTGTTCTTCCTCAATCCCGATTAGGAAACGGGTACATCCGGTCGTTTCCTGACGGGTAACTACGCTGTGGATAAATATATTTGGATTCACAATTGTGTCTAGTCACCTAGGGGCAAACTGGAATATAAACAACGCAGCAAACTTACAAACCCAAGTATCTGTAATTTGCAGGCCCTTTAATAAAGAACGACAGACACATTGGAAATGAGCAAGCATAAGAGCGTTGTGAAAACCTGTTGTCAGTGTGAATCAGAAGATCGCTGTAGTCAATCTGGTAAAGACTAATGAATATTCTAAGCCCCAAACCAAGCCGCATAAAAGCGAGATGCAGCAATCTTTGGAGACTGGATGGTCTCTTAGTCAACCTGTGCGCAAACCGAGAGTGGCGACTCAGACACGAGCTACTTACTACTGTGAAGTAGTTCGTGTTTGACCTCGAAATGGCAAAAACTGCCCGTCTCTTTCTATTCTGCTCTCAAGGCACTCAAGTTTTGGTAGGCATCGCATCATGTTTTAGAGTGATATGAAATACCAGGTGTGCGATACTTCGGATGAAAACTATCCAACTTTTGAATGATAGTCATATCCACTGTTGAAAAATCTACCAAAAACACCTAAGCCGATTCTTTTTTTAACTGAAGTTTCATGAATTTATTGCGGGACTTCAAATACGCTTTTGCGCACACATGGTGGTGGGAGGATGATTAACCTATAATATTTCCATCATAGACTGGGCAATCTGGGGCTTCTGCAATCCGCAAGCCTTCCGCGACAGGACAGGTCACATTGACCAATTTGAGGTGGATTGACTGCAGCATCCCGAAACGCAGCCTATTGATTCGGCTGCTCAAGTGTGCAAAACATTTACTGCTAAATTTGTGGATGTTTTCGACATTACATCAAAGTGAATTACATTAGGCCGCCCGTAACTGAGCAATTCATCTTTCCCGACCAATAGCTGCCACCCAGGTTTGGTGGTCGGGATCGAGGTGTTGCAGTGATCCCCGGACGACAGTAGCCGGAGCTTCGTTCCTCAGGGTTAATGCATGCCAAGATGGTCAAATGGGAGCAACCCAAGAGCAGCAGGCCCACGTATTACGAGGCAGTCTAGGAGTAATATCATACTGTCCTATTTTATGGAAATGTGAAGAGAGTTGTTTCCTCCAATCAACCGGCTTCTCAGTGCTTACGGGGACGGTAATGCTGCCTTCCCCGGAAACGACGGATTACAAGGGGTAGACTCATATCATCATCATCATCAACGACAGCATGACATCAGTGTTCAACACCGATGCCACATCGGTAGACTCATAAGCATGATTCCTCCCACCCTGAGGATGGGTAGGCCCCCGTAGTCAAGTGGATCACACTGCTGAGTCATTGGCACCGAGTAGAGCTCCTTTACGAAACCGCGATTCTCCCACTACCTTGTTGGTGAGAATTTTACGTCGAAGGTTAAAAGTCAAACAGAACCCTTCTTCAGCCTGGGTAACCGGGAAGTGACATCTGCCCAGACTAGTGGCAGTGACTGGTATCTATAATTTATTAGTCCCATTACCTATTGCCACTCATACCAATACCAATCCATCCGATTGTGGTTCTATAAATCCAACATCTATTCCCAGCTCCCTATTCAGAAAAACGAAGCCTGAAAATGCACTTCCAAAACCAAGGAATCTGTTCAACGAGTCAGCGTTGAGGGTCCACAGTTTATCACGCCGACATGACTGTGTCATGCAACCAGTGTGCTGGACCTATCCCCATGTTTTTTAACTCACTGTATATTTTTCCATATTCTCTATCTTACACACTTACCATAAGATGCAGGGACCCAAACCACCGTACATACTAAATGATCCACGGTTGTGGAACCGAAATGAACTTACGGTGTATGGTAACGCTCTTTTAGGCTGTCATTAATATCTGATGTGACTGCATGGTCGTCTACTAATGGGAAATCAACCATATGAAGCAGATCGCTTCCAGTCCTGCTGGCGATCGCTAGAACATTGGTCAAAGCTGAAAGCCTAAAGAGACTCAAAGGTAGTGGGTTCCCGACAGGGGACAAGGAAGCGAAAGAGAAAG